TTATTTTAGGTGTCTTCTTGTGGGATCAACTAAACAACAGATGGTTTCTGCTGTTTGGATTTGTCCCCCTAGTCTGGGCTTCTGCTGACTTCTGCATTCTTCACCTCACTCAATCATGAATAGGTTGACATGACTAGAGTCGTCTAGTCTACTTATTTGTCATATGATAATACATATAACCTTTCTTAACATATATTTACTTCCTATTTTAGGTGATTTCATGTACTTAGATATTAGGTTAATTAGTGTGATGTGTTTTGTACTGCAATAGGTTTGTTCTTTAGGAAAGCGGGCTGTTGAGACTAATTAGGGGAGTTGTTTAGACAACAGAGATTGATCTCAGACCGGTGACAGCTGCCTGGAGACTATAAGCAATAAAATCTATAGATTGGGGAGGGGTAGTGTGTGTGAATGATTCTGTTTAGGTCTGGCGAGACGGAGGAGACCAGATGGTGGAAGGCGGATCACGGGACCGGAAGCTGCCTGATACCACGCCCCTTCTTCTTGCACATTTACTTATAGTGAATAGTTTGAATGTGTTAAGTTAGAGTTTTTTACCGAACCAGGGACAGTAGTGTGACTTGGCGTGGAGCGCCCACCCAAAGTTATACTTTTATACTTTATATAGAGAATAAGGGATAGTTACTTTTGGTCCGGACAGCTGTATTAGATTCTTTTTGTATTAGGGAAATAAACCTTTTTGAATTTAACTTTCTGAATCTTGGTCATCTTTATAAGGGATTTTGAACACGTCATTTTTTAATACAATACCCTCCAGATTCTGGGTCCATCTCCTTCTCCAAACAACGGAAAGGATTAACAGAATCTAGGAATGCAGATCCCTCTTGGCCTTCCAGATTAACTATCATTAACTCATCCTGCACTTTGGACTAAAATGGAAGAAGGGGAGACCAGGTCTTTTTGCTTAGGAAAGAGACAGAGGTCAAATCAGGGTCAGTCATTGTCATATCTGCTTTTTAGTCTTATATTTAATACAACATTCCCTCTCTTGGCCGCTATTAAAAAGGCCACACCTTTCAATAACCTTCCTTGGGTGCCGGGATGGGGGAATCCTCAACCAATGCAAGCATTTGACCTCTCAGTCCAGGGTTAACAGCAGTGTCTATAGCTTTAACACAAAGAGAACGTATACAAGGTATACAGCAGCATCCTACAACCATTATTATTGCAAAGATGGCCGCAAGGCTTGTGATAACAGACAAAATTACATGTTTCCACCTCCCCAAGATGCTGTCCAGCCACGCCTCCAGTGGGTTCTCCGGGACTCCAGAAACGTCATGCATCTGCTCTGACAGCATTTTGAGACCAGCCAGAGCCCTGGAAACTGATCCATCTGGATGTGTGTTATTTGGAATATATACACAACATTCTGTACCAAATAGACTGCAGACCCCCCCCTCTCTCTGCTAAAATCATGTCTAGGGCCACCCTGTTTTGAAATGCTACCAGCGAGGTGGCCCCAAGCTGCTCCGCCAATCCCTCTATTGCGTCACTGGTCTGATTGGCAAGCCGGAGCATAGTATACCAAATTAAATTAATTCTATCTACATTTTTGTTTGGAGTAATAGGGAAAATAGCTGAGATTATTGGAAGATTTTCGAAACCTGTTGCAATTTGATCTACCAGTTTGAATTCATGAGGGACTCCACGTGGAACACCTATAGAGTCCATGTAAGTTGGATTATCTTTCCCAGTATCTAGGAATGGGATTGCCCTTTTAAATCTATGCAGTGGGTGGGGACTGTCTAGGGATGGCTTATGGCCAATTATGGAAATGGGCATCATTAATCGCACCATTGCACAACTACCTGTAAATTTTTTTATTAGTCTATGTCTAAGTTTTAAATCTCCACACAACCAATACAAATCACCTCTGGTCCGGGTCATGGGGACCGGACTGGGCAGGGTGACGTTGTCGACACACCAGTCTGCTGGAAGGAACCCCCACTGGAGACGCGGCCTCGTCCCTCCATTGAGTGAGAGGAAACAGGTGTAATTGCTTTTCCTGTGGGAAAACATAGGGGGCTGAATTTCTGAATCCAATTCTGGAAACAATACTTCAAACATTGAACAGTTGCTAGGGGCTGTCTTTGTCTCCTCAGTCAGGTCTTTTTCTTGCCAAAACAACTTTATCATACAATTATAACCATCTACATCTTCTGGGAAAAGTGGAGCAGGGGCTGTATACAGAGTGGGACATGCAGTAGAGCACACAACACAATCGTCAAAGCCAGCAGCCGCTGACATGTGCTCCACTGTCCACAACCAAGCGTTTCTATCCCCATATCCGGTTGCTTGTTTTAACAAGTCAGAAACAGTCCAGTCAGCAGTCACCTGTACGTTCTGTTTGTCTTGCCATACTTCACTATCTATGGCCTCCTTGTCTAGCTCCTTGTCCTCGGGTAGGGCAATTGAAATCCATTGTCTAATGTCTCCTGGATAATGTCCAATAACGTAAGTCCCATTCACATCAATCCCACAATTTTTCACAGTGACTAGCGCTGTTGTTTGTGAGTGGTTATACCCCCAATCAGGACCTGTATTGGATATAACATACTTCCAAGCATCACAGGTGCAGTCTACCAATGCTCTAAAGCTTTTTCCATGTCTCTCATATTTACATGTAGACGGTGTGTAACACAGGTAGAGTGTGTAGTCAGGTCGAAAGGATAATGGAAAGATTGTTGCCATTGGTATGTGGGCTGTAATTGTCGCACCCACCGGGCATTTTACTGTCACAATCGTAGGTAGGGAGTCTCTAACGCTGTCTTCTCCTATGGATCTTTTATTTCTGTCAGTCTTATTGGACCAAAGACTGGATTGTGTTACAAGTCTGGCCCTGTCTCTTAGCTGTGTGTTTTCTAACACTTCCCATGTTAAAATTGCCAGGACCGCGACCAAACCAACTGCAGCAATAGCCCATAGGATGGCTCTCCCTCTCTTGGTCGTGGGCCAGGGCTCCCTGTCCCAAGGCAACATATTAAGAGCGAGTGTAAGCGTGTGTGTGAGTCACTGTCCAACCCGTGAGCGTGGTTACGAGGGTGGGTCAGATGGTCTCGTATGAGAGAGATGAAACCACTTGCTCCCGTGTCCCTTCAGTTGAACAGCTTTGCGAGTGCGGGCCACCACTTCAAAGGGTCCGGTCCAGCGGGGCTCGTCCCACTTCCTTTTGAACACCTTCACACGGACCCAGGCTGGTGGATCCTCCGAGGCCTCCTTCTCGCAGAGGTCGAGACTTCCTTCAACCTGATGGGAAAAACTAGACAACATTTCTCTCAATTGTTCCCAGTACACCCGCACTGGGGGTGTTGGGGAGTCGTCTTTTGTGAAAGGCACCACCCTGTTTCCTGGTCCTGGCATAGGCCTCCCTGTTAACAGCTCGTATGGGGAGAAATGGTGAATGCGGTTAACAGAGTGCCTTGTTGACAACAGGGCAATAGGCAATGCCTGTAGCCAATTCAATTTACTCGTTGCCAGGATTTTAGAGAGTTTACTTTTCAGGGTCTGATTCATCCTTTCAACTTGGCCCTGGGATTGAGGATGGTAGACTGTTCCAAATTTATGTTTTAGCCCCAGATGTTTTTCTACCAATTGCAAGTGTTTGTTCCTGAAATGCGTCCCATTGTCAGACCTTATTAACTGGGGAAAGCCATGCGTTGGGATGTAATGGCAGGCAGTCTGCCAGGTCTGGCCCCTCGTCCCGAACCACAAACACTCCTGGAGTACTGACCTTGTAGTTGGCAGCTTTCTTTGCGGCCTCATCCGCCGCCTCGTTTCCCCTGGCCTCAAAGTTGTCTGACTTGGAGTGCCCTTGGCACTTGATGACGCTTACCTGTTTTGGAAGCTGGAGAGCGCTGTCCAGCCTCTCCACCAGGGCTCTATGTGTGATGGGTCGGCCTTTAGCAGTCAAGAAGCCGTTTCTTTTCCACTCGGAGAGGTTGAAATGGACAGCCTGAGTAGCATACGCAGAGTCGGAGTAAATATTTACAGATTTACCTTTAGCAAACTCCAAGGCGGCGCAGAGAGCCTCTAGTTCTGCCGCCTGCGCTGATGGTTTGTCAGTTAAAACGCCGCTGTTTACTGTAACAAAATTTTCACCGTTAACAATGACAACTGCATACGCCGCTCTCAGGCTGCCATTCCTCTCTCTCCAGCAACACCCATCTGTGAAAAGCTGTAAGTCGGGGTCCTGAAATGGGTCAGTCTGGAGGTCAGGTCGCACTTTCAGACTGTCTATTACCCTTACACTGCAGTCATGCGGCTCACCCTGTCTTGGCATGTGGTCAGCCATGTTAATGCCAAGAGGTGTAAAAGTTATGTGGGGCTGAGTGAGCACCTGTAAGAGCCGTGACTGTCTCAAAGGTGACATAGTGAAGGCAGCTGAGGACACATATGCACAAACGCCATGATCAGTCAATATTTCTAAAGCATGCCCCATGACTAAATGTGCTGTTTTCTTAATCAAATGTCCCACTCCTGCAGCATACATAGAACAGTCAACCTGTCTAGCCTCGATCGAATCCAATGGAACGCTAATATACTGTAAGATTTTTCTCTGGCCCCTGCACTTTTGATATAACACTCCGTTGGCTACCTGAGACTGCACTGTGGCATCTAAGTAGAACGGGAGGGAATAGTCTGGTGAAGCCAAATGAGCCGCAGAGGATAGGTCCTGTTTGAGTGAGATAAACTGTGCCTCGCTATCTCTGTCCCAATTCAGTTTAGCCCTTGTGTTTCTCATGCCATGTTCATTAACTAAAGCTCTTACAGGTTTAGTTTTGTCTGCAAAATCTGCCACATAGTGTCTGCTATAGCCTATCAGACCCAGGAAGGACAACATGTCCTCCTGGGTCTTCCTCCTTCCTCCTCCGTCGAGCAAAGACGTGTCTTAGTCCGCTCCTGCTTCTGAATGGCTTGCTATCTCCTGTTTTTGTCTTTTTTCCTGGAGTTTTGCCACAGACAACTTTAACAGAATGGAAATGATTAACTGGTCCCTCAACGCAATTGATTCTATCTTTTCAACACGTAAGCGTGGGTCTGGAGAGCCCGTGTGCCCGGACGGGACTTCACCGGCGGGGTATACTCTTGACAGCTGGAACAAGTTTCAGCCCCTCTGTCTGTCGACCCTGTCCATTGAAGATTCGGAAGACGTATATATCTTTGGCATTTTGGTGGTGGGAATCCTCCTGTTTGGGTTTGGAGCGATCCTCTTCTACCACAAATTCGGAGGCATGGCAGTTCGCAAGATTCACGACCTGCTGGCCGACAAAATTGATGGGATGTACAAGGAGCTAAGCCGCGTCGTGGTTGAGAGTGCCGTGTCTGGTCAAAGGAGAGTGGTTTTGGTGGAACAGTTGATCAAAGACCTCGCAGCTCGTTCACTCGATGGGCATAAAACTCTGGAATTGAGATTGAATGACATTGTTTGTCAGGCTTGAACTCTCTGACCCGGCTTGGATTTGCCCCTGTGTAAGGAGGTCTGAGGGCGCCGTAATTCGGTTTAATTGGAATTAATAGAATATCTGCCTGCTTTTGATGCTACATTGCATATAATATTGTCCCTCTCAGGCGATGTGTTTTTCTCCTGCTGTGTCTTCTCTCCACTCTTATCTCACATTCCTCGACCAAGGCCATAAACAAGGTCCCACAATCTACAACAACTCACACTACTTCAGTCTCCAGCAAGGATCCCTCACCCCCGCCTCCCTCTACCTATCCATCTTGCTCCCTCCCTCCCCTCCATTCCTCATTGTTTTCCTACTCACCCCCTCCCTGATCCCGCCCCCCTCTGACAGCTACATTGGGCCGGCCGCCGGAGGTGCTCATCCCGAGAAAAAAATCCGTGGTTTATAAAAAGCACAATGTGTCTATCCAATTGTCTGTGAACTGTATGTTATTGCTCTCTGCTGTTTCTCGCTGCACACAGCGCCGCAAATGGCGAAGTGGCACGCTCTCTGCCAAGACAATTTCCAAGTGGTAACTTTGTTACTCACGTGGCAATAAAAATGATTCTGATTCTGATTCTGATTATGATGTCCCCCACCATGGTGGGTCTGGGATATGACAAAATAGCATCTCTGTGCTCTGGAGACATATTTGTTGATCCTCCAGACACGCTACGTCCCAGGAAGGTCACCGCAGGCCTGCAACATTGTAGCTTTTCCTTACTGACCTTAAATCCTTTTGAATGTAAGAAGTTTATAGTGTCCCTGGTGGCTTGTAGACAGGCCTGCTCCGTTCTCGAGGGCGAGGAGGAGATCGTCCACATACTGTAGGAGTACCACGCCCTCAGGAAGCACCAGCTCTCTCAGCAGAGCGTTCAAAGTCTGATTAAAAATGCCCGGGGAGCATTTATGTCCCTGGGGAAGACGGGTGTAACGCATTTTTTGGCCCCTGTGAGTAAATGAGAAGAAATCTCTGCTTTCTTCTGCCAGGGGAATACAGAAAAATGCATTAGCCAAATCCATAACAGTAAAATACTGGAGGTCTGGTGACAGTGACGACAGCATTGTATACGGGTTTGGGACCGGGAGACACTGTTAATGTTAAATCATTTATTTTTCTCAAATCATGGACCATTCTATATTTATTCTGACCTGGTTTTGGCACCGCTAGAGTGGGTGTGTTCCACTCTGATTTTGATGGCTCGAGGACTCCCACTTCCATAAGTCCCTGTATCACCTGTGAAATACCCTCGACAGCTTCTGGTTTGGCGGCATACTGCTTTATGCGAATCGGGCCTCCTGGCTTCATCTTTAAAGACACAGGAGGGAAAGAGGTGCACAACCCCACGTCCGTGGGACCTTGGGACCAAACTTCTGCAGGCACCTGTTTCAATATTTCATGAGTATCATCATGATCTGTCATGTGTCTACCATGATGTCTGGTCAATGTTTCGTGCTCCACTTCCCCTGTGTGTATCATATTTGCTTTTATCCTGTATGACTTATTTTCAATGCTGTACTGCACATGAGGGAGTTGGGTGTCAGACCAATCGTCAGCTTTTATCAGTCTTTTTACCATTGGACCTAAAGCTCTAGCCTCGTGACCAGGGTGTACAGCCAAGGTGATGTGTACAGCCAGAGGGACAGTGATGTGTGGGACAGAGAGATTCTAATGTCCACCTATCACTTTCAATTTGTTTGAATTGTTCTCTGTACATTAAGTCTTGGTCTCTGTCATAGAATAATTTCAAGTGGGCAGGGTCCAGTGGGAGGTGGTAGGAGGCCAAAGAATTTATCTAGGGTTTCCACTTGAAGAAGACGGAATGCACATCATTATTGTCCGTGGACTTGTTTTCTGGGTCTAGTCTCACCCAGTATATGTCTGCATACTGGTCTGGCATCTCTTCTCTCAGAAGCCAGCAGGAGTCCATCGATACACCGGTCACACATCTGTAAATTTGTCCCCCTGGAAAAGTCACTTGTAGCCCATCCGGTCCACATAGAATAGACGCATTGGTTTTAGTCAATAAGTCTCTTCCCAGCAGGTTGACAGGTGTCTTTGGAGCATTTACAAAAGAATGCCACAGTGTCTGTGTTCCAGTTTGTGTTTTTAAACGTTTAGTGAGTGGCAGTACCTCAGGTGTCCCAGAAAATCCAACCAGGGTGATGTGCTCCTCAGAGGGCAGGACAGGGCGTATCTTTGTATTGATGGTAGAGTAGGTGGCGCCAGTGTCCACCAGGGCCATCAGGTTGTCGTCCTCCACTCTTATGGGGAGCATAGGCTCTGCTGGCGCCTTGTCCCCTGGATTTCCTAGGCAGCCCTAGTAAAAATGCTCATACTCGCCCTGGTAGTTCCCCTGCTGGTAGTATTGTCCATCCCTCGGGGCCAAGTTGTCATTTGGAGCAGTCCATGGGGAGGGAGGGCCTGCGCGCTCTGGTCTGGGTCCCATGCCTCTCTGGGGGCCCCTCCCACGCACCATCTCAGGCGCTCCATGGCAGTAGGAGGCCTCTCCTTCAAAGGGGCAGTCCTTCGCCCAGTGACCGTGCCTGTAACAGAGGCGACACACATCCCTGCCCCCTCTCCAGCTTCCACCCCTTCTTCCTCCCCGGCCCCCACGCCCACCACCTCTGGCCCCTCCCCTTGTCCAGTCCTGTCGTGGTGTAGTGGGAAGTCCAGCAGGCATGTTAGTCATCTGATTACTTTCTTTTTTGTTTTGGGTGGCTTTATTTCTAGCTTCACTAAGCTGTAACTTCAAAAGTTGACAAGTCATATCTTCAACACTCTTTCTCTCTTTAGTTTTATTTTCAACATATCGCTTAATGTGAAAGATTAAATTTGTCTTCCACTGGGTAGGATCTGGATTAATATTATCAGGGGTGTCTTCAATTTTTGAGCGTATTGTTTCTGGTAAACCATTCAAAATAGCTGCTCTAAAAGGCATAACTTCACTGACCTTGTGAGGGTGTCTTCCTACAGTGTCCATCCACTTGGTCACACACCTGTCATAAAATACAAGTGGGTCCTCAGACTCCAGCCAAGTTAACTCACGAGGGGCAGAAGACAGCGGAGTTGGAAAGTTCTCCCTTAGTGCTTCATACCAGGCATTTGCATACAGGCCAAATCTGGAAGAATCAGAAACATCAACAGTACCAGCTTGTCTTTCAATAGCATCTCTCTCCCATGGTTTACTGCATGCTGCCAACACTGCCCGGACGTCACCCATCGCCACATCATGACCTGTAAACCATGTATTGAGACTGGAAATCCAGTTTCCAGCTCCCTGGCACAATGGAGGCATTTTGTCTTTTATAGTCTGCATGTCACTTACAGAAAAAGGATGGTACTCCCCAGCTGCGCCTCGTCCTGGTCTCAGAGGGAACATGAATTTTGTCTGAGACCTGGTTCTGCTTGCAACTGGTCTATTTCCTTCAGGCTCCTGGTCTCGGTCATCACTATTATCGTCAGAAGAGAATTTAGCTCCTTTTTTAGCCTGTTTAGCTTTAAGTGCTGGTGGGGCCATGGCACAGTCTCCCTTTTCACTTTCACTGTCCGTCCTAGTCATGGCTCTGCGTGCTGCTTTATTAATTAATTTTACATTCTCCTGTCTAGCGGTCTCGTAATCATGGGTCCTACTTGGGGTTTCTTCTCTCTCAACTCTGTTTGTGGTGTATTCAAAGGTTGGTTTCCTAGCTCTAACATTTCTGACAGAGTGCAGGAGCTCCTCTTGAATGCATGGGGGTTGGTGATGGGTGTGTGGGAGCTGTGACGGGCTGTTGACAGCTGGATTTTGACTCGGATCTCTATTGTCCCCCACAGACTCCTCTTCTGTCCCTTTGTCAAATTCACTGTCTGCAGAGTCATTGTCCCATCTCTTTTCTACCATCACTTCTCCTGAGAAAGCATATTGTGGCAGTTGTAGATTTGGCTTACCTGGTTCTAAACCCAGAGAATACTCTGGTGGAGCCGTGGGTAGGAATGGGTATATATTACTCACCGGCGTTGCTCCGTTTTCTGTTTCCTTGTCTTTACTTACCATAGGTAATTTTTCCAACGCCGTGGCAGCCAGAGCAAAGTTGTGTGCCTTGGTCCTCAGTTTCTCAGCCTTTTTTAGTTCCTTTTTAATTTTTCTACGCTCATTCCAACTCTCTCCCTGCTTTCCCTCGAGCTCTTGTTTCTCCTGTTTTAAATTATTTTCCTCTTCCCGCAATATCTTAGCTAATGCGGATCTTGTCATATACTCAGGTATGACCCTATTGTTCTGTATTTTTTCCCATGCTTTCACAGCCTTTCGCTTTGCCTTGTTCCTATGCTCTTTATCCAGACCACTCAGAATCTGAGCCTCTACCTCTCTGTAGAGCTGCTCGATTGGAATGCCTGTCTCCATTTTTCGGGGGGGGGCCCGAAAATCCCCCAGGCTCTATTGGTTTAAACCTAACTTGTGTGTTGACGCGTCCGTCAACCACGCTAGTCACAGCGGGCTTTCCTGTTTCTGACAAGGCTCTCAAAAAATCTTTACTTTTAATGTATTCTCGCAGGGTTCTAACTACTTAGAGTCCTATTTTATTTTATTTTAACGTATTTTCGCAAGGCTCTCACTACTTTTTAGGCTTTTACTATTTTTACTTTTATTGAATTAGCTCCTCCGTGGACAGAACCTCTCTCCCCTTGATTTGGTTTAGTCCAATATGCAGATTTTTAATTAGTCAAAAGGTATCTGCTTACCTTCAGTTCAGCGGCCGCTTGAGGAGAGACGCAGAGTCCAAAGGGGAGGCTGAAAGTCATCAAGGGATTACGTCCGGGGTCACCAATTATCGTATTAAAAAATGACGTGTTCAAAATCCCTTATAAAGATGACCAGGATTCAGAAAGTTAAATTCAAAAAGGTTTATTTCCCTAATACAAAAAGAATCTAAAACAGCTGTCCGGACCAAAAAGTATCTAATCCCTATCCTCTATATAAAGTGTGACATTGGTTGGGCGCTCCACCAAGTCACACAGCTAAACCCTGATCCGGACTGAAAAAAACTCTACTAACACATTCAAGCTATTCATTATAAGTAAATGTGCAGGAAGAAGGGGCGTGTCGTATCAGGCAGTTCTCGGGTCACGGGTCCGGCCTCCATCCGGTCTCCTCCGTCTCGCCAGACCTAAACAGAAATCATTCACACACACTACCCCTCCCTAATTCTATATTTATTACTTCCTTGAGATAAGGCAGGAGGCTCTTCAAGGCTGTCCCTCCAGATTCTGGGTCCATCTCCTTCTCCAAACAACGGAAAGGATTAACAGAATCTAGGAATGCAGATCCCTCTTGGCCTTCGAGATTAACTATCATTAAGTCATCCTGCACTGTGGACTAAAATGGAAGAAGGGGAGACCAGGTCTTTTTGCTTAGGAAAGAGACAGAG